TTTTTTCTGGAGAAATGCCACTGAAATTCTGATAAAGATAGCATTAAATGTGTACACTGCCTTGGGTAATATGAACACTCTGGCCACACTGACTCTACCAGGCAGATTCTTTAGATGGCTTAGCATGGACACAGTCCTTTCCATACCAAGGCCTTAGAGCTCCTGTTCAGCCAAACTGGATTCCTGCCTACCTCACTCTCTACTTACTTCAGTGGCTCCTCTCAAAGGAGCTGTCTGTGTGGCCAAGACTTCTCATGAGATGAAGTATACATGCCAGATTTGAGCAAGTGGCTGTTCTCACAAGAGTAACAGTGCCTTCCCTGGGAGCATGGCTGTAGGTTAAGAAGAAAAATGCCCAGGAGACAACAGGCTGCCAGGCAACTCACCATAGGGCAGAAAGGTAGCCCTCAAAGTACATGGAGAAAGAGTCTGAGAGGAAAAAACTAAATAGACATATTGGCCCCAGGGCACAGTTCCAGATCATGTTTTAGTCACCAAGGACCCTGCTAAGAATTTTCAAGGTTTGGGAAAGAACAGAGGAGCTGTCTCTCTTTCTCCATGACCTCTTCCATGTCCAAAAGGCTTGCAGGAATGAATGCAGAATGGCAAGCTCTCCACACAGTGGTCAGAGATGGATGCTTCAACTTTCACTGTGTCCCTCTGGTAAGTTGTTCCACCTCTCTGAGCCTCAGTTTCCTCATCTGTAGCATGTAGGCACTTCACAGGACTAAACTAAACAAGATTAAGAAGTATTAAAGTACTTATTGTAATGCTTGGCACATGGTCTAAACTGTGACTTTGGCCAAGCACATACCTAGTCTTCAGTCAGCACTATTCACTCCTCCCTAACGGGTGACATCGTGGGAGAGAGGGGCTGCAAGACCGACCTGTGGCCTGGGTAGATTTCAACAATTCCTGTGACAAATAAGATATCTCTGGAAGTCCTACCTAGGCATGTAAAAACTCCTAAGTGAGGCAGGAGAAAGGTAGCCCTTGCCATCTTTAGTGGATGGGGCAGCTGGTGCTCAGATGTGGACCTACTGGAAAATGACTACCCACCCACCAACCACTAGCCCCTCATTCTCTCCAAGGAGATAACTCTCTCCCAGGCTCTGTGCAATTTCCTCATTAAGGTCACCAGAGGCAGGAGGCGCACAGGTGCTGAGGAAAGATGACAAGAACAGACTGGGGAGGGCAGAGAATTCAACTTAGCCTATTTTCCAGTTGGCCTTCCTCAGCCTGCTTCATACCTCTCTTGGAAAACCATCCAGTGACTTTCCACTCAGCATGGTCAGTGGAAAGCCCAGACTCACCTGTGGCCACCAGCAGACTCAACTGTGACTCCTCCTCTGCCTTGTGCAATCCCATGGATGCCCTAGCATCCTCAGAGATACCCATCCCTCTCCAGCCTCCAGTCCCTCCCTGTGCTGCTCCAGAAGCCCCAAGGTCTGCCACCTCTGCTTTGGTTCACTCCTTTCCAGACCACCTTCACCTGCTTCTGTACCTAGTACAGACAACAGTCACTTATCCAGTGACCAGACCCTTAGGCGTCCTGGCAAGGACTGCTCTTGTAAGAGCAGAAGTCTGCCACTTCTGCTGTGGTGTCCAGAGTCCACTTCACACCTGCTCCGTACACATGGATTAACTTAGATAAAAAGAACGCTTACTGGGTGAGGCAGGAGTGGAAACTGAGCTGCATTAGACAGAGCTGTACTGTTTGCTACAACACTTTCTTCCTTCTCATGCAGCCCTAGTTTAGGAGTAAAAGTGCAATGGATCCAATGAGCTCGTCAGCCTCTCTGGACAATTTTAGTTGTGGAAAAGACCTGAGTAGGTGTGGGTCATCTGGGCATATATGGCCTTTGTCTCTCATACCCTTCACAGTTATTTCCACAAGTGGCTACATGGATGAGCAGATGCCTGTGGGCAAGGTACTCCTAGCTTGACAGCAATTCACAAGGTTTTTAGATATGACGCTTTAGGCAAAAAGCCAAAAACCATGTTACCTTGGATTTAAAGTATCTAACTTATGCCAGAACATTTGAATATCAGCACACTATGAACACTGACCCAGGCGGCCAGACCTCTAGGCAGGTCATTCTCCCTGCATGAACTGCAGTTTGTTTCCAAATGGAAGGGACCTGCCTCATCTCTCCTCACCAGACTGCTGGACTTGCCCATTTCTTTGAGCTAGGTTTTGCTTGTTTTGGTTACTCTAACAATCTTAAAATGAAAATTCCTCTAACATGTCCTGATCTCTGTGAAAACTGCTTTATAACAAATACTTGGTGAAGAGAAAGGTTGGTGTCATGCCCAAAGTTGCTAAGAACCGCTGTGTATGAGCCCATGTGCTTCAGCACCCGGCTGAAGAAACCCATTAAGACACCAGAGGTAGCTGTCTTTCAGAGGCTACACAGAAACTGCCTGCAAATGGAATCAGGCCTGTGAAGCTGCTGTGTGACGTACGTAACTCCAGCTAAGAACCACCTGCCTTTTCTTTAGGCAGCTAAAATCCCCTCTAACTTCATCTAGAGCCATTTCTTTTCTTTCTTCACACAGGAAAAAGACAAAAGGCACTTAGGCAACCTTGCGAGGCCCTGGAGTGGTGACTACCCACCTAGCTTAATTTCTTTCTTCTGCTTGCATCTCTTCAGATTTTCACTCTTGATTAATCAGTGTGGACGGTCTAAGGAAGAAGAAGGAAAAAAGATGAGAGCCAGACATATTCTTGGTGCTAAACTGAAACAATCTTTTAGGAAGACAAGTTAACAGTATCTATTCACACAGTAAATAAGCACATTCTTTGATCAACCCAAGAGTCAGGCAGTTACACCATGGACACATTCACAGGAGTAAAAGGACAGTCAGTGCAATATATTGTGTAGAAATGTTAAAAGGGAGTGGAGTACACTGAGAAAGACGGCTCTTTCAAAGAATGAAGTACTCACGGAAAATGTTAATCCTCCATTGCTTAAAAGCTTATTGTGAAAGTGGATACATTATTGCCCCCTTTTTTTTTCTTTTGAGACAGGGTTTCACTATATAGTCCAGGCTGGCCTGGAAATCCTCTCTGGAGTGCTGAGGTTACAGGTGTGTGCCACCACATGCAGCTACTATTTTTCTTTGTAGGGGCACATGCCTTTAATTCCAGCACTTGGAAGGCAGAGACAGGGGATCTCTATGAGTTCAACCAGCCTGGTCTATATAGCAATCCAACCAGGATAACATAGTTAGACCTTGTCTCATAAAAAAGGAAAGGGGGTGCTGGAGAGATGGCTCAGTGGTTAAGAGCACTGACTGCTCTTGCAGAGGACCTGGGTTCGATTCCCAGCACTCACATGGCAGCTATGAACCATCCATAACTCCAGTTCCAGGGGAATCCGAAGCCCTCTTCTGACCTCCGCGACATTGCACGACACGGGTGTACTCACATACATGCAGGCAATACACTCATACACATAAAATAAAAATAATTAAAAAATAAAAAGAACTAAAAAAACAAAACAAACAAAAACAGGAAAGAGGGAGGGAGGAAGGGAGGAAAAAAGAAAGAAAACCCAAGTAAATTCTCTCCCTACCCCTGGGAGTGGCTCTCTCCTGGGAAGAGAAGGCCTCAAACCACATCTCTATGCACTGGCTAGCTCTTCCCAGCATATACTCTGGCTTCTGTGGCCCATTAGGCCAGGGACCCAGATAAGAGAAATGGGAATGTTTTGCAAATCCTCTAGACAGAAGGAGGCAGGGGAAGCACTGAACTAGAAGAGAGGGAGGCAGTAGCGTTCCCAGTGGGCTCCTGACGACAGCTGCCTGGCTGAGCTGCCCTTTCAGGTGCCAGAGGGTCTTCTGCTCTCCCCTGGTGCAACGCTTTGCCTCTAACTTTTCTTTCATTGAGAACAAAGGTTTCAGTAAGATACAGTGACACCTCCCATCTCTACATGGTGTACAAAGCATATTTTACGGCAGCTCCTCACTCCGTTCCACACTTGCCTAGCAATCCATTCCCCATTGCAGCCACCACCATGCAGGCCGCATCCTAGGCCTCATCCTCGAATCCTCAGGCCTGCTGTACACTCGAGCTCCACTCATCGCTCCTCTCCTTCTCTATGCTTTGGCCACACTGGCCTCCTTTCACCTTCTTAATATTCCACATGCTTCCCACCTCCAGTCCTCTCACACCAGTGGCCCTCTCCCAAGCAGGTTTTTCTTCTGGCTCCACAATCCTCCTTCCCCTCAGCATCTTCTTCTTCTTCTTCTTTTTTTTTTTTTTTTAAATGTAATGTAGCACTGGCTGGCCTAGAACTCACTGTGTAGACCAGGCTGGCCTAGAACTCAAAGATATCTGCTTGCCTCCCAAGTACACCACCTGGTAAAGAAGCCCTGACCTGCACCCTCCTTTATCAATAACTTAGCCTGTTGATGCAGTCCTAGCACTTCTCTTGGTCCCGATGAACCTCATTTGGGGAGGGCCACACCTGTTTTCTTTTATACCATCGACCTATCACCTTGCCTGGTACTGGGCATATGTTAGGTGCTCAGTGAATAATGACTGACCACATAAAAATGTTATCAACATGAACTGAAGGTGTGGCTCCAATGCTACAGTTCCTCTGTGTTCTCAGGCTCCTCTGGGCCTCTTCTGGGGCACATGATGACAGGTCTTAGGGTCATTTGGTCATCTTTGCCTTGTTTTATTTTATTGAGACAGAATCTAATATATTTGAGTGTCTATTCTTCTATCAGACTGTGAGGAACTTAAAAATCTTATTCCCCAGGACTGGAAAGATGGCTCAGTAATTAAGAGCACTTACTGCTCTGTCAGAGGATCAGAGCTCAGATCCTAGCACCCACATCAGGTGGATCACAAAAGCCTTTAACTCTAGCTCCAAGGGATCAGATATTCTCTTTGACCTCCATGGGCACCTGTATACACAAAGGTATATAGATACACAGACACAGACACATAATAAAATAAGTTTAAAAGGATGCTTTAAAAAGTCTTGGGGGCTGGAGAGATGGCTCAGCAGTTAAGAGCACTGGCTGCTCTTGCAGAGGACCCGGGTTTGATTCTCAGCACCCACACGGTGGCTAACTCCAATTCCATGGGATCCAATGCCCTCTTCTGATCTCTGCAAACATTGCACAAGACAGGTGCACTTGCATAACATGGAGGCAATACACTCATAAAAATAAAAATAATTTAAAAAATTTTTTGGTCTTTTTGAGACAAGGTCTCCCTGTAGCCCCAGCTGGCCTGGAACTGGCTATGTAGACCAGGCTGGCCTTGAACTCAGAGATCCACCTGCCTCTGCTTCCCGAGTACTGGGACTAAAGATGTGTGCCACCACGCCTGGCAATAAAGTATTTTTTAAAAGTCTTATCCCCTTTCATATTCCTTCCACAGCACTCTGCAGGAGGCCTAACATCTAGGTTTTTACCAGGAGAAGGACTCCTGTGTACTGTAGGGCAGGACAAATGGAGGTGGCACACGCCTTTAATCCCAGGGGCGGACCTCTGTGAGTTCAAGGCCAGCCCCGCCCCTGCCCACTCAGATGGTAGCTCTGTCTGTCCAGTAGACTGCAGCGCAGAACACAAGCACCTCCAGTATACACAAATACACATGACACTGGGTCTAGGGAGAAAATCAGCAGAGGTGTATGGGGAGAGGACTGACTGACAGGCCTTATTCAAACCTAGAGAAGTGCAAGCACTGAGCAGTCATGTAACTGTGCATTCTCCTGCCTGTCTTTCCTGATCCACAGAGAACTCCTGAAGACCAGGACTATGTCAAGGGCTCAGGGTATAGCTCCGTGGTAGATCACTTGCCTAACTTGAACAAAGTCCTGGGTTTCACCATCAGCATCTCATAAGGAAACAAACAAACAAAAAGGAATCACATGGAATTTTGAGCAGAGCCTGGTAACACATTCCGATAATTTCTAGCACTTGGGAGGAAAAGGTAGGAAGATCAATTGGTTAAAGACCAGCTTCCACTATCTAGTGAGTTCAAGCCAGGCTGGGCTATGTGAGACCCTCTCTTAAAATTAAAAAAAGGAGGGGGGAGGAGAAAAAGAAAAGTCCAACCCTATTCCTCTAGCCCAGTGCTTAATACAAGGTCCTGAATGTACATTTACAGAATGGCAGCAACTACATCTATAAAGTTCTACACATAACTGGGACGTCAGTATGCACTAGCTGCAAGACACAACCTTTCTTTTGGGCTCTGAAGGTCTATTACCTAGTCCTGAAGCGTCAAACAAAGCCAGTAAATTTCTTCAAACATGAACAAGGTTTCTCTTACATTTAGGAAATTTCTCTTACATTTGGCTTCCTAAGAGTGATATGTCCTAATCTACAATTCACAATCTGTTGGCGTCATAGCTGACTACAACTCCAAAGAAACCATGCCTTGAAGGACCACAGCTCCAAGTGCTCTTAAGGCATTGCTGAAGGACTTCTAGGAGAGAGTGAGCTCAGCCTTGGAGCATGGGTAATAACCTGTTTGTAAATGCTTGAGATTTCCCACCTGGGCCTCTGCCTAGGACTCCTGGCCCTTAGCTCAACTGAGTTAACTATGTGGGCTCAACGTCTCATCACACACACAGCTGCTACCTGCTTCTTCCTTGGGCTACCAGGCCAGGTCCCACTACTCTCCAGAGAATATCACCCACTTCTACTTTCTGTCTTCACACTCCTGGCTGACTTGAGGTTCAGCATCAGCTGTTTGGGTCACAAAAAGCAGCCCTAGGCTGGGTTTGTAGAGAGACGGGAGACAGCTCCAGGGTCCCTCACAGGAGGTTTCAAAATTTGAGTTCACATGGACACAAGAGCCTGTGTGCACTGCTAACACTCTCTTCCTACATCTTATAAGGCAGTGCTCTGAGCATGCAGTGTGTTTTAGAGTTTTAATTTTTGATGCTGTTGTTGTTATTATTATTATTATTATTATTATTATTATTATTATTTGCATGTACATGCCATGGTATACTGCGGAGGTAAGAGGCTAACTTTTGGGAGTCAGTTCTTTCCTTCCACCACTGGTTCCTGGAATCTACTCATTCTGCAGCCCAAGTTGCCTAAAACTCATTATGTAGCTGAAGCTGCCCTCAAACTGGAAATCCTCCTGCCTTAGCCTCTCCAGTGCTAGGATTACAGGTGTGAACCACCATGCCCTTAGTGCATGCAGTTTAGTGCCAATTTACAAGTATTAATTTGAATCTTACCCTGTTCACCTCCACCCTGTGGGGTAGGCATGTGTGATCCCAGCTTTACCTAAAGAGAGGCAAGCTCTGGAGGTGGGGTGAAGATCTGTCCTAGACCTCAAGGCTAAGAGTGGGAGGGCGGAGCTCTTCCCTGACTTCTCACAAAACTCTAGACTGAAGACACCAACAAAGCCGGGTGTGACAGTGAACGCTTTTAATCCCGCCCCCCCACCTCAACTGGCCTTTTACACCTGCAATGAAATGCCAGGCGTGGTGGTGCACGCCTTTAGTTCCAGTACTTGAGAGGCAGAGGCAGGCGGATCTCTATGAGTTCAAGGCCAGCCTGGTCTACTTAGTGAGTTCCAGGTCAGCTGGGGCTACAGGGAGACCCTGTCTCAAAAAGACCAAAAAAAAAAAAAAAAATTGACACCAACTAGTCCAGCCAGACAGCAGACTAGAATGTGCAAACAGCTAGGTAGGTGGAAGGCACCCAGGGTAATAAAGTGAAGCACACAGGGCCTAAGGCATTTATAAAGCTGGAACAATCCTCCTCCTCCAGCAAAGAAACTGGGCCCCAGGGAAGTGAACTAGGCCAGTTCTCCTTCAGCACTCCACCTCTATCTCCTGCCACTCTGAAAACCTGGACACTCCCCGTCTCTGTGCCTCTTGATGTAAGGTAGAAAAACCTCCCACATCACTGCTGTGAAGATTAAAAGCAGTCAGTAGATCTGCGATGCCCAGCTCTCTGTGTGACACATATTTCTGGATGATATAAAAGCCACGTCTGGTTTGGGATATAGCAATCTCTTCTATAACCTACCTCTACTCCCTAGATGCCCTGAGCTCATCACCGGGGTGGCATGTACCAGGAAGAGCAGCATAAACAAGAAGTTAACGATACACTCACCTGGCATAGGAAGGCCTGGGTGGAAAGTGTAATGCATGCCACCAGTTCCTATAGGGACCTCCCAGTCCAGGCCTCAGCCTTCCAGAGCACCATGGCCTCACTAGCACCTTACAAAGAGCCAGTTTTGTTACCCAGAGTTCCAAGCTCTTAGAGGTGGGGCAAGGCAGAGGAGAAAGCTCAGGCCTATGCTTGCTACATAGTAACCACAGTTCACCTTAGATGAGACAGCCACTAGGGAAGACTGTGGCTTTAAAATATGCCAAGAGACCAGGAGAGATGGTACATGCCTTTAATCCCAACACTTGGAGGGCAGAAGCAGGAAGACCTCTTTGAGTTCAAGGCCATCCCAGTCTACATAGTGAGTTAGTGAGTTCCAGGCTAGCCAAGACTATACAGTGAGACCTTGTTTAAAAAAAAAAAAATGCCAAGAGGTTGTAAGAACCCTTGTGCTAACCCTGACCTTACTTCAAATAGTTTCTAAACAATACATCCTCCTGAGGATTAGGGTCTCTGCTGGCCTTAAAAAAAGGGCCCTTGAGTCAATAGGGCCTGGACTAGGTTGTTCCCTGGCTGGGGATCCTTCCCCTGGAGCAGTGGCAGGCAGGTCTAGACTAAAGGAAGGGCACACACAGGGATTTTTGTCCTTCTGCTTCTCTCTCTTTCTTGCCAAACTAAAAACTAGAGTGTCAGGTTTTAATATTACAATCAAATGATCTCTTCTGTATCTGTGTGCCAGGCTGTCCATGGGGTACCAGGTCACAGAAAGAGAGATGGCTGGAGGCTAGAGGAGAGCAGGACTTGAAGTTAGCCAATAATTATGCAAACGGAGTTCAGTCAACTCAAGGAAGGAGTTCAGGATAATATGGGAATATTTACCTTCTGTCAATCATTTACCTTCTGACCATCTACTATAATGTAGAGGGTTGAAAGAGGTCTTCAAAAATATTGATTCTCTCCCTGCCTCCTTAAGTGTGAGTGCATACACACACACACACACACACACACACACACACACACACACACACACACGTGCGCGCACATCAGCAACGGAGTGGTGGACACTCATCCATGTGTGCATGTGTGGAAGCCAGAAGCTGATATCAGATGTCTGCTTCTATTGTGCTCCACCTTATTTTTAAGGCAGGGACTCTCGCTGAAACTGGGGCTCACCATTTAGGCTAAGCTGCTGGTCAGGGAGCCCTGGGATCTGACCTATCTCCATTCCCCAGTTCTGGGGTTATAGATGTGCACACCACCACACACCTGACTTTTATATGTGAGCTAGGGATCTGAAATCAGATCCTCATGTTTACCCAGCAAACACTTTGTCCACTGAGCCATTCTGAACATTGACAGCCAAGGGTACTTTGCTACAAAAGCCAAAAGGGTCAGCCTCGAAACATTAAAGAATGAGGATTCATCATCATCTAATTTTGTCACCTCCCTGAGGTACAAATGAGGAAGGCCACACAATCTTCTCAGGTGATTCTTCCACTAAATGCTGTGGCGTTATGCTTTTGTTTTTATTTTTTGTGGTGCTGAGGATAGAAACCACGAAGGCCATGGACATGCTAGGCAAGAGTTCTACTGATGAGCTACACTGGTCCCCACTTTTTGTTTTCTAAAAGTAAACTATCTCCTCTTTAACTGTAACTCTCAAATATATTTAACCTGCTAACGGGATGAGCTACAGCGTGCTACAAACCAACTCAAGCCACCTGAGGACCTCAGCTCAGAGACAAGGGACCTAGAGGCAACGAGGGCTCCCTCCCTTCCTCTCTGGGCAGTGGCTTGCCTTGTTTAAAATCCTGAAGACAGACACCAAGAGAAGGGAAGCCCAAGAGCTTATATGGTCTGTTTATTTTCTAGAAATAAATAGCAACTTTTAAAAGGGAAGCAAGGAAAAGATCACAGAGCCAAAGTTAAAGATCTCCCTCCTTCCTATCCTGAGTTCTTCACATTAACTGCTGCAGGCTATGTTCCATGACTTCCAATCTACCCTATTCTGTATCTGAAATTTAACATACCCCAGCACTTGAGAAGTAGAAGCAAGAGGTTAGGAGTTCAAGATTATCCTGGGCTAGATAACAAGTTCAAGCCCAGATGTTGTTTTTTTTAAAAAAAAAAAAAAAAAAACACAAAGAAAAAAAAAAAAAAAATTAACATGAATTTTACATTTTTGAGATATTTCTTTCCAGAATTTGTAAAACTTTTTCTACTACCTTTGTAATCAGAAAAATAAATAAATAAGTTTTACAGGTACTAACTTCTAGTCAGATTTCTTCCTCGTCATTTTTAAACCTGTATTTGGCACAAGGAGGGCTCTGGAGACTCAAAGCTGAGTGGGAAACTCCACCAGTGCTGGGCTAGAGCCTGCCGGCCTGTGAGAACGAGGCTCCCACTCTGGCCCTAGACAGTTTCAGAGAAAGCTGTAATTTTTGAAGCAAGCTCCCATATATCGTAATGTAAAAATAGTTCCTTTGTGACCAACAGGCTGGAAGCAAGCTCTCCAGAGAGCTCTGTTCCTCTCCAGGGTGGGCAGTGGAGGCAGGATGGCTGTACTCACGGGAGCCACGTTTCCTCCAAAGGCAGAGGTCCTGGGGTCAGGAGGGAAGGTAGAATTAAGCCAGTATTCAAGATGAGCAGTCTAGACCAAGATGCAGGCAGGCTGTCTCTTGCCCCTTCTCGCTCCCCGTGTCTCCTAAATGAAAAGCACTTCGAGGTTTTAGTGGGTGTTTCCCACATCTCTGGCCAAGTAAGTCCCCATTTGTTGTAATCCAGTGCTCAGCCTGATGATGTCAGCCACTCAACTCACTTGCTCAGTTTCCACCTCTCTGTCCACCGGAGGGATCTGTTTCCCTCAGACAATGAGCCAGGCAGCTGTAACTGTATCCCAGGCCTGTCACATTTGCCTAACATCCTTCCTTCAATTTTCAGCACTGCAGCTCCAGTGACAAAGGGCTTCCTATGTAGTCACTAGCCAGGGATCCTGACATTAATCCCTCTGTTCTTTTACTGGGGAAGACTGTGGCTGTCTGTTTTCTCTGTTGTTTCCATTCACTTCTTTGGTGTATAATATGCTAATTAGGTGGGATACCTCCTCTATCTTTCCTTCTGCCCAATCCTCCAAGCTGTTTCATTTCTCCATAGTTTCCTAGCCATGGAGTGCTTGTACTTGCATAGAGTGACGGTACACCCATAGGAAAGGATGGGAAACGGCACTGGTCTGACTGGGGAACTGGGTTCAAGTCTTAGCCCTGCCTTCAATGATATGAACAGCTTTAAGGAAGCCCTTCTCTGTCCAGTTTTGGTTTCAGCATAGGTGCCCTTCCCTCCTGAAAACCCACAGACTCGGGTGACTGTAAAGTTTATCACCACATATATCCTGGAGCATTTGACTTGAGGCTAACAGCCGCCCCTGATCAGGGAAGAACTGTGCCTAAGATGCCTGGCTCTGCAGGTTCCTGTAGGCCCCTTTCTAATGGTGCTAAAACATTTCTCTGGGAGAAAATCCAGAGTTCACTGAAGGAACCCCAGGGGACATGAAGGGAGACAACATAAACTACTAGATAAGATAAACAAGTAAGAGAATCCAATGGTCCCTAGGGACCTACAAGCACTGGTTAGACCAGACAACAAGAATGTTGCATCCACAGCACACTCCACAGAGAAGACCTTGCCTATGATGGGCAGCAAGAAGACCTACGTGTGACCCCAAGCACTGTTCAGGAGACAGAGATGTGGATCTGCACCCTACACGACTTTTCTCTCAGCTTCATTTTTCCTAACTGTAAAGTGGGATAGTGGTGTCTTCGTTTTTGCATCCTAAGAAGTGACACTTGTAAGGGAACTGACATAGTGTAGATAAAGCACTGAACAGATGTCAGCTTTCAGGTTGTACAGCATCTCACCTGACTCTCATAATACCCCTAGGAGAATTAGGTAGCCAGGGTTGCGTTATTAGTCTCCTCAATGGGAGAATGAAACAGAGAAGTTCTGTGATGTGCCTAAAGTCACAAAGCTTAAAACGAAAGGGCCAGAACTAGAAACTGAGGCTTTTCACTCCTAGATAGCTCAGCACAAATGCCACACATGCTAATGCTATTTCTCCAAATGTATACCCACCCAGCTTGGCAAGGGAAACACTTCAAGTCAGCAGGTCAGATACAATGCTTATTGGCTCTGCTACCAAAATACTGGGGGGCTTTAACTGCCTTTCCCTAAAGGAGCGGAGCGGATTTGTGTACATGCTACTTCTATGGGTCAGGAAGTTAGGACAGGAGCTCTACTGGACATAACAGGCCTTTATAAGGCGGGGGGGGGGGGGGGGGGGGGGGGGCGGGGGGCGCTGCGGCCCTTTGGGGCTTAGTAAGAATTTTAATTAGCTCTCAGAAAACTTTGATGTTTATCAGGACCCAAGCAAACAGGCTCTTATTGGAAGGATGTTTGCCAGTCACAAGGCTTTTGAACAAGTTGGTGAACTGTGGCAAATAAAACATACCAGCCTGAAAACACTACAGGGACAAATTTAAACACCTGGGAGAGATGTGGGGTCCTCCCAGTACCTGCCTTCTTCTCATTGTGGATGACCTAGACAAGTGGTCTGTGCTTAGCTGTAGGATGAGACTCATAACAGCATTTCCCCCATACAGCTATTTGTGTCTGCTGTATGTGTGAATACATGTTTGTGTAGGTGTGTGCACATGAGCATGCAGGTGTTCATCCATATGTGTGCATGTGTGTGTGGAGACTGTGGAGACTAGATGTCCATGTGACTGTCTTCCTCAATCACTCTCTCTATTTTATTAAGCCTGGAGCTAATCCATTCAGCTAGGCTGCCTGGCCAATGGACTCTAGGGACACCCCCCCCCCATCGACACTGGGATTACACACGCATGCTGCCACCCCTAGCCTTTATAAGGGTGTTGGGAATCCCAACTCAAGTCCTCAGGCTTGCATGTCAGTAACTTTATCAACTAGGCCATCTCCCAGCTTCTGCTCTACTAGGTTCCGTGTGGATTAAGTGACTGACACATACTGTAAGTTCAAAAATATTTGGAAAACTAAGTTGTAATTGCAATGTTTTAATGGTAAAGACATGATTTTCTAATTCTGACTCAGTTTCACAATTCCCTGCCCTGGGAATGTGATAAGGATGGTAACATGACAAGGTAATAAAGTCAAAAGCATAGGGAAGTGGAAGAAAGACTGTGTGTTTCTCCAGAATGTTAGGCTGAGTCATACCATACATAAAGGCCCTCTGAGAGCTGCCCGGTACTTCTCTGTGGCAACCCAGCCCAGAGGGGCTGGAGAGTTGACCATTGCTCACAAGTGCAAGTGTGTCAGGAAATGAGGCTGGGTTCTTGGGAAGGGTGCCTTTACTGGCATCACCCTCTGGGCTTCAAATGAAGTTTTGTTATTTGAACAAAAATAATAGGAGCTCATTCACAGAACAACATCATTTCCTGGACGTGCAATTTGTCACACTTGCCTTGCAGATGCAATGACTCTCCATCTGTGTGACTGAATGCATGAAGAGAGAACCCTAACGACACCAAGCAACATCCACCAGCATACTTGTTTTGTATCACAGCTGATAATAGTGGAGACAGATGTAGACTAGGGCCACACACCGCCAAGCTCTATAAAATGTCACTTCATGTAATCCTCACAGTGATCAGGTACAAGGGCTCTGAGTAGCCATATAACACAGCCATGGCAGTGGGTAAGGGATGGCCTGGGTTAGCTGTTCAAAGGCCCAGGGAGGAAGAGACAGGGGCTGTGCTCCACCTCAGGGCTCTCCAGGGCCAAGCCTGGACCCCTAATGCCCTCATATCTCACACCGCCGCCCACAGAGAGCAGCATGGGCTCCATGTGAGGAGGCGGGGGGGGGGAGAAACTGGCTGCTTATGGGTACAGACCTCTCTAAAGAGAGTAAAGCTGCATTTACTCCACCCCTCCCCGGGCTGCACAGGCTCTTCCCTCCACTGAACTTCCTTAGGCTCCCTCAGCCTTTTCCCTTTGGTGGCTTCTCTACTTTGGAGTAGGTCTTTTTTAAAAAAATTTTTTTTTATTATTTTTATGTGAATGAGTGTATTGCCCCCATGTATGTGAGTGCACCCATGTCATGCAATGCCTCGGCAGTCAGAAGAGGGTGTTGGAGTCCCCTGGAACTGGAGTTAAGAACAGTTCGTAGCCACCATGTGGGTGCTGGGAATTGAACCCGGGTCCTCTGCAAGCGCAGTCAGTGCTCTTAACCGCTGAGCCATCTCTCCAGCCCCTGGAGTAGGTCTTTCATACTCCTTTGCTACAATCTGAGTTTCTCAAGGAAAAGAACTGCTTCTAATTGAGTAACATTTTGTATAGATTATGAGACATTTATTAACATAAAAAACCCATAAACAAAAACTTTTATTAGGTGTTTACCACATGCCAAGTAACAGTCTACGTGTTCTGCATAGATCACCTCACTGATTTCCCACAAGGTCCTATGAGGGAGGCGTGCTGTTACCTCCACCCACACAGATCAGCTGGGTCCTCTGGTCAGCAAGTAGTTGGTTGAGTTTTGATGGGTTTTCTTATGAGGTGTGTGTGTGGGGGGTTGTTGTTGTTGTTATTGCTATTACTGTGATTTTTAGACTGGATCTCACTCTGTAGCCCAGGCTGGCTGCAAACCTGTGGCAATCATCCTACCTCAGCATCCCAAACACTGAGACTACAGGCTTGAGCCACCACAGAAGGCACCAGTTATCACTTGACAGGACTGCAGTGTGGATGAATAGATTTTGGTCACCACTATGCATTTTCTCTTAAGACTTTTTAAAAAATCTTTTTGAGACAGGGTCTCCCTGCAGCCCCAGCTGGCCTGGACTCTATGTAGACCGGCTGGCCTCAATCTCACAAATTCGTCTGCTTCTGCCTCCCAAGTATTGGGATGAAAGGTGTGTGCCACCACACCCAGCTTTTGTCTTATTTTTTGATTGTGTGTCTGTGTGTGGGTAGGTGCATGTGAATGCAGGTGCCCAAAGAGTCCAGAGACACCAGATGCTCTGGAGCTGGAGTTACAGGAGATTGTGAGTTGCTTGAAATGGGTGCTGGGAATAGAATTTGAGTCCTCCAGAAGAGCAGTAGTGCTCTTAATCACTGAGCCATCTCTGCAGCCCACTCTCTGCTTTCTTAACGCAAACAGCTGCCATGAAATGCAATCACCCTTCACCCTGTCAAAGGCAGGCTGCAGGTGTGACATTTCAAACTCATTCATTATGCCATAAAGTTACCAAAGTCTGCTTTTCCAAGACAACCAGGAAGCATGCTGAATGAGATTTACAAATGAAAGTAGATTTTGTTATTTTTACCATTACTTTGCCAATTATAACTGCCTGTAATTTTAATTAAAAAGGAAATTATAGGAGAATAGGAGAAAAAGCAGAAAACCACCTATCATCCCAGTACTCAGAAACAACCAGAGAGCATCCTAGTGTACAGCCTCCCCACCCCTCCAAACAAGGACAAAACGTTTCAGAATCAGAAATGTGAATCATCTGGGGACCAGAGCAGTCAGTCCCACAAAAGGCACAAAGACATGTGCAGTGTATTTGCTTGACATGCAGGCCAAGCTAGCCAGCCCCTGGCCTTTCGGGGTTCACCTGTGTCCCTGCTGTCACTAGGCATGCACATGCCACCACATCTGGCTCTTTTTGTGATTTC